AACTGTTCCTATATCTCATATCTCACTGTCTCTATCCTTAACCAACCTATAAGTGAATATTAAAACTTTATAAATATATATAAAAATCAATTTCAAACAACTTTAATTAATAGTTCAAAGTAAATTTTAAAGTAAAATTTTATGCATTTACATTTTAAAAAAAAAATAAGTTTTGTTTCAAAATTGTTTAAAGGTGTTTTTTGACAATACTGTCAATAGATAATAGATAAATAACAGATAGGTATACTATTTGTTTCAAAATTCAAGTACTGATATTTTATATCAAATATCTAATAAATATACTATACATATAATATACTTATTGGTATTGTTATCTGTATAAATCTTTTACAATTTACAAAGACAACAGAATAAAATAACACTAAAACTAAGAAACAAGACTAAATAAAATTATAAAAATACTAATCTCAAAATAAAATAATCACAATATAAGGGTTTATATGTAGAAGGAATTATATATGATTAATTATGAAAGAGATATATTAATTATTAACAGTGATATGAAGACTTGTTAATAAAGATGAACAGTTTATCAATTATCAAAAGAATACAATAAATAAGAAACATAAAGAATTTTGTAATATTAACTTTATTACTTAATAAATCCTAACTAACTGACTAACTATCTCAATTGAACTTTACTAAATCAATTAAAAAAAACTAAAAAGCTAACCAGAAAACTGAAGACTAAGTTGAGGGAATTCTCAACCTTTATATATATAATAGATTTATCTATAAAACTAACTTGTAATCTGACTTAAAACTTTACTAGTATTTATATTAATATTTTATCTAATACTTTAACTATTAATTTAACTTGTAATTTAACTAAAATATTAACTCATATTATGGCTTGTACTCTAATTTGTATTTTAGTATTACAGATTAACAAGAATTTAGAAATCTACTAATTTAAGTAATAATATTTAATTTGTACTATAGCCTAATAAATTGATTTGCCATAATACTATATATATTAATAAGAAATAAATAATAGATAATAATAAAATAATAAATATACAATATAAAATATATAATAATAAAATATATAAATAATTAATAAAAATAAAGATAAAATTATAAGTAATAGTATCCAATATATGTACTATATAAATAATACACCTATTGAATATTTGATATGAAATATCAGTACTTAAATTTTGAAATAAATAATATATTTATCTGGTACCTATTGGATATTCAATAGGTATATTATTGAAATGTTTTAGGCCTCATTCTTTTTTGTTTTGTGCTTTTACTCTATACTACATTTACAATGGCATAATTAATATTTAAAATAATGACTTTATTAAAATCTACAATTGTATTATTAGTTAACTCAAAAAGCACTTATCATTTTATTTATTTTTATTAATTATTTATTATATATTATTTTGGAATAGGCAAATTTATCAAATTTAGTATTTTATTTATTTATTTATTTTATTATATTTATATATTTATATGTAATTATGCCTGAATTAATTCAGATAGGTTATATGACCTAAGATTATTTAATTTATTTATTTTTATTTATATTATATTTTTATATTGTAAAAATAGATATATAAAGGCATAAGCTTTTAATAAAGTACATTAGTCTTCTGACTAGTAAATTATTTAATATAATTATAAACTGTTGACTTTTTGTGAAGTGTTAGAATTTTACAAAGTATTATATTAACTTTATTTATATTTAATCTTAACTGTTAGTTTGAAATTTTTACTACTTTTATCACTAACTAAATAAGAGTTACCCCAACTCTTACAACTATTTATAAATTTTAACCAGTAAGATGTTTAAAATATATATAAGTCAAATACAAAAAAATTATTATACTGAAAAGAAATTTTGATTTTAGTTAATTTATAATATAGAATATTATTAAAAAAATTTTAGAAATGAATATATCTGAATTATACATGTTCCCAAAATTGATTTTGGATTTTTGAGATATTTTGACTTTTTGTGATTTATGCAGAATCTATTCTATATATAGAAGTAAAAAAAGTATCCAGTTATATATATATTTAATCAAAGGATAAATCTGGGTAATCAAAAATTTTGAACTTTAAGTAAAATAATTTTGTCTTCTATAAAAAACTATTTTGACTTTTTTTCTCGAATTATAATTTTCAGGACCTCAAAATAATTTTATATGCAAACTGCAAAATAAATTATTTAATAAAGCATGACTCTGTTGAAAAAAAAAATAATAATTTTGTATGCAAGTATAATTTGAATATATTTGATCACTTATACATTTATTCACATAAATTGCATTAATTCACATTAATACACATTAATTCACATTAATTTATATGTTATATCAAATATATTTACATAAATTTATAAATATATTTGAATATAATCTGTTTTTACTAATTATAAATAAATCCATATATATTTGTTCTTAAAAATTTCCTGATGATAATAAAACAGTTGATTTTTAGTGATTTTAATTGATCTATAATATAGGAATTATCACTTGATACATGTATTTGACTTGTGATACTTGCATGCAAAATAGATTATTATAATAAGTTAAAATATTTTGAGATTTAAAAGTTAAAATAGTTTTTCATAAAAGATGATTTAATTTTACTTAAAACCTGAAATTTTTTAATCACCTAGATAAATTCTTTGATTAAAAACTGGATATTTCCTTTATTTCCATATATAGAATAGAAATTATTTTAAGAATATATAAAATCTAAAATAAAATTAATATATAAATCATCAAATTTATTAAAAGTTTTTTTAATTGAATTATTAATGATTCTTAGATATATATATATGTAAAATCTTACGCTGAGCATTTTTACTTAGTGTTTGAAAACTGGTTATTATAATGAAATTTTGAGTTATTTATGAATCTTCATTTTTTTTCCATTTTTTCACTTGTTTTAAATTTTATGTTACACATTATCTTGTAATTAATTTCACCAATCTTGAAATTTAATTGGACTAATTTCACGTGTTAACTCCGCTTTAGAAGACCCCTATATGGTATCGACTTAGCTGATTCTCAAAAAAATCGGCTAATGAACTTTCGGCTTCAAAAAATCAGAAATCAATTTTGGAATCTAGACCCTACATGCTGTCCAAATTTAGAAAGGGAAATATTAATAAAAGGATTAGCAAAATTTTATTGTCAATATTTCCTTTTCTGAATATCTAGACTTTCAGATCACATGGTAAATATGCTTTTGTGTAATCGATTCTGTAACTATATTATAATTACGCGTACGCGTCTGAAATAAGCTTTAGACTTTTATTTCTTTTTAATCAATAAAAAAAAAATGTCTTCGTTTCTTAGTGAAAATAGCTTCAACACTATGGATATTGATAAACGACAAGAATCTTTTAAAAAGGACTCTATGGATATTGATTATGACGTTTGCGTGTACATAGAGCAACCTGAAAACTTTCCTGAGATTTCTAAAAGTTACGATGCTGCCTATGATGAAGTTTCTAATTCTTCGGATAGTAATACTCATTCAAACGCGCGTTCTTCCTCGCGTCTTAAGCGAAAACATGATGTTATGCCACCGCAAAAGTCGAAGCCAAAAGCCCCTAGACCACAAAAGAAAATTGTGCGTTACTACAAGTTTAAGGAGGACGAAGTCGAAGAAAACGAAATATTTGAACTTATAGGCGAAGATCCTATAACCAGAGATAAGCAAGACGACATTGGTGATAGAAATACACTTCCCTGTCGTATTCTAGAAGATTTCATCATATATGATGCCAACGATAAAAATAAAGTGGTCAGCATTGAAGAGGTTGATGGTGAAGGAAGGGAACTACACGCGTCAGGAATAGTTAAACCAATGTACGTTGGTCAAGATGATCAAGACGATGAAGATACTGAAGATGAAGACGAGGGTAAAGA